CGATAAACATGATAATCAGAACCAAAACAGATGTTTTTTAGCAGGTACCAGCTGTAATGGCGCAGCTCTATTCTGGAAAAGGGGGCGGGGAGCAGCAGCTCATTTGCATTTAAAGACACAGGCCCGAAAAACGGCGCGTTTCTGCTTCCAATCAAAATAGGCATTTTCAAAATGATATAATAAATTATCTGTGGAGTATTTTGAGCTGAAACTTCAGACACATTCTGGGGACACCAGAGACTTATATTACATATTGTAAAAAGGGGCATAATATGTCTCCGTTAAAACCTCTTCAGTGGCTCTCAAATGATTTTCCATTGATTAAGGATCCTCTGCGCCAACACAACTCAATGCTGTGCTAACAATATGCCATTGACAATATCTAATAATCATTGTAGTGGCTTCCACTAAGATGCTAGTATTGGTAATGGGAGCGAGCAAGTAATTGACGCGTAAAAAGTCCATGCAAAACCAAAGTAAAATGCAACGGTCTTTCTTTATTGTGCTCCAATGAATAAACATTGCTTCCAATTAGCTTCCCATGGTGTCATTTTGTCTAGTTCATAGGATACAAAAGTACAGTTCAACTCAGTCCAAACACAATCCAATAATTTGGCATGATGAAGCACGATCCAAAACGGTCAAAAACTGTGTGCTTCCCTTCTACCAATACACACCCGTTTTCTCATTAACCAATTGCCCTAATATACTATTTCCAGTGCGCCACCCAATGGACAAACACATAATTGCATTAAAAATGGCTCATACAATCATTGCAAAGTGTCCTCCTGCATTAATGGGATTCCTCGTGTTGGTCAGCAGTACAGATATCTGCAATGCTGGAGCTGGAGAGAAAACCGCTGGATTGCCAAAAAAATGAATTACATTTTGCATTTTTTCCACTCACAGAAAATCCAGCCAGCTTATGGTTTCCAGCTCCTGCAAATCCGCTCAATCATTTAGCATTAGTATGTAGAGCACTGCACAGAGCATTGTGTATTGTTGGCGCAAGTTACTATATGAAGGGGTTTAAAGAGATTTTGCCTTTTCATACACGCTTAACCCACCAAACATTTTCACTGCTAACAGGCTGCATGTGTGTGAACATCAAAAACAGGTATAAGAAGATATTCAGATCTCATATCTGGTCATCTAACCTTCATTTAAAAAGTAATTCAATCACATTTGTTTATTTGATCAACAGTTGTTACACTTAAAAACAACTGTTGTACAACTCAACCAAATCAAACAGACTTATTCACTTGTCTTGTGTGCTGTACGTGCAAACGATAGCTTTGTGTGAGAAACAGACCCAAATTTAAGACTGCTCACCGATGAAACAATCCTGTAGCTCATCGATGCATTATTATACACGTTTAAACTTGCTGCATCAAGATTCATGATGAGTCAGAACCAATAGGGCTCAAAAGTACAAAAATGCAAAAATTAAAAACCTAGAAAACATTTGCAACGAAAGTGTCCAATTGAACAAAAATATAAATACTTCACCTGGCACATAAAAATACCTCGCCTAAAATAACACTCAAATGACTTTCTGTACTAATGGTCCAACTGGGTCAGAAGGAGAAAACATCTTGCTGCAATGGCATCAAACCTGCCACAAACAGGTGCAAGACGTATTAAGGCTATTTTTTTTATGAGAGCTGTGGCAAAAGATTAATCAATCAATAAAGACTTAATTTCCATCTGTTCCTCACACAAAGATAACATACTTTGACTTAAGCAACAGAGGCATACAGACTAATTTTATGATTTAATTTGAGTTTGTAATAATAATAATTAATTTTTTTTACTGTATTAATTGCATTGTTATTATTATATTATATAAACGTAAACATGTATTACAGTATAAATTTTTTCACCGTATTGTATTAATCTTAATTATTTTTATATAATAGAAAACATACAATTATATATATTAATGTAAACTGTATATATACAGTATTTTTTACACCGCAATAATAATAAATATAAAAATTATATAATTATAAGATTATATAATAACAATAATATTAATACAATTGAGAAAAAAAGTATGAATTGAGATAGTTGCACCATTTATTTTTTTTCAAATTTACTTTATTATACAAAACAAATGACATGAGTAACAAAATTACAATACAATAATTTCTGGGTGAACTCGTATCCTGCGTGTGCATTTATTCCTCTCTGCTGTAACACGATCCTCGTCATGAACGCCTCGACTCAATCTGAAGGGCTGAATGCTGAGAATGGCCCATGATGAGATGGTTGAAATCTATTTGCATTGATCATTTTCAGTCTCTGCAATGCCAGTGCAGAAAAACAACAAGACAAAACAGGAAATAGCCAGTTTGCACAAAAAAAGGTTTTGCATGGGAGTTTTAGGCTGCGAGAGCGGCACGAGTCACTGGAGTGCAAACCGGGTGTAGGAATGATCGTGGGCCTTCTGTACGGACCGTAACTATACTAAAAAAAGGCAAAACCTGCCAAAGGTGGATTGATGATGCAACTACATCACCATGCATCACGCAAAGCAACTCTCTCAATTGACAAGTAGGCTTGCCGCGATAGACGGTGCTGACGGTGATACCGGTGTTAAGCCGCAACACCGGTTACGTCACTTGCCCACCGCGTCACCGACCCCCACCGTCGTTTTGATTTTTTATAGAGCTAAAAATCATTTAGTTCAGTAAAAGAACAGACACTACAATTAAAAACTGAACGTGCCGCTTTTACAAGCTATTTAAAAGCGAAGGAAAGCGAGGAAAAGAGGGAACGCCCCGCCCCCGCGGTGATACCGGTATTACCGGTGTTGTCACACGTCGATTAACCGGTGGGAAAATTTCCTCACCGTCACAACCCTAATTGACAGACATTTAAAAGTAAGCATGCAGTCTGATAAAGTGACTAGAAATCAGTGCTTAAGCCATGCAAACAGAGTTTACGACAAAACAACCACATTTACATATAAGAGTGCATTTACATATAAAGGTTTAAAGGTACAGCAGCGATTCAGAAACGGGCAAGAGGCTGGAAAATGATCTGATGAATCCTAACTAACATAAGTCATGTTAAACATGACTGCTGAATGAGACAGTAGGTTGTTGAAAAGACTTTCATAAAGCAGCCGATTGAAGGTTTTCCACCAAGTCGTGAGTTCTTGAGCAGAACAGATGTGAAAGAGATCTGCCGCTTTGTCTGTTTAAACTTTGCCCTCGGCAACCACAAGTTGACAAATAAAAATCAACACGCATTACAGTAAATCTAACAGAAACCTCAGATGACTGAGACAGAGAGAAGATACCATGAGGAACAGACACACAATCTATACTAAACCAGTCAATAACATGCACAGATCTATGGAAGCCTGATAAAGGGGTCATGTGACTGGTGAAATGCAATGTTCATGTGGTTTAAGGTTCAAAAAACACATTATTTTCCACATACTGTACATTATTGTTTCTCCTCTATGCCCCGCCTTTCTGAAACGCGTCGATTTTTACAAAGCTCATCGTTCTGAAAAGCGAGGTGTGCTCTGATTGGCCAGCTATCCAGTGCGTTGTGATTGGCCGAATACCTCAAGCGTGTGACGGAAATGTTACGCCCCTTGCTAGGTTCAGGAAACTTTCCTCCGTAAAATGTGCTGTACACTCGAATATTTGGGTTGTACTGATATGCAACAGTGATGTAAATAAAACTTGATTATTGACCACTGATTTCTAGTCGTGTCCTCTTTTGGAAGACCAAACAATATATATACACACACATATACAGTATATATAAATCTAAATCGTTGCTTTGGATAAAAATAATTTTAAATGAGTCGGTGTTTGATAAAGGCGTCTGCTAAATGCATAAATACAAATGTAAACTAGCTCTCAATAACTAATAAGAACGGTGAAATGGGGTGAAGAGTTTTTTAGTGGGATTCCCCTCAAAAGCAGCATGAACTGTTAAATAATCACATTACAATAGAGAATATTTAATTTGAACTAAAGCCAAATTAAAAACATCTTTTACAATATATTTAAACACTGAAACGCTTCCTGATAAACACAAATGAAGCTTTACCTGAAGTTTGTCCTCTGGGACGTTGAGCCAGTGGTTGAACGCTTGCGAGAGTTTTGTTCGGACTTGTTTTCCTATCAAAACAGAGAAAAGCGGGAGAGATGACAAGAAATCCAAATTAGCTGCAGCTCGAACACGGACGGAAAGATCAACTGATGTTTCCCACCGAGCCTTTCCTCAAAAACACCCGAAACCTTCCCCAATAACGTGAAATGAGACGTTCAGTTTAAATTTTTTTTTTTTGTAGTGAAGCTTTTCAACAACAGAAAAAAAAAGTGTGAATAAGATTGACTAAGGCATTTCTTACTTTCTTCTAGCACAAAAATCCACAGCAATGCAAGTATTTGCACCCAGAGAAGCAGAGAGGAATATCTATATATGTATAGCTATCTATCTATATAAAGATATTTATATATACACATATACAGTAGATAGATAGATAGAGATGTATAAACATACAAACTGAAGCACAATGATTACTGCAAATTTGCAATACTAAAATCTTTTTTTAAAGTTACTTGAAATAAATGTTAACTGAAATAAAATATCAAATCAAATAAATAAACTTGCATTTTAGGCATTATTTCAGCTAGTTTGAAGTGCTAAAATAAACTAAATATACTAAAACTAATAAATAAAATTAATGTAGACATTATAAAAATTACCAATAAAAATGACTAACACAAAATTACTAAAACTAGCTAAAATTCAAGTAAAAAAAAAAAAAATTTGCTTAAATCTCTTAAGGAGCTTTTATTAAAACATTCACAGGGTTAATAGTTAAATTTAAAACAAACTATACAAAACATATTCATTACTTGAAATTAACAATAACATTAAAATACGAAATAAAAAAACTTCGACATTATTTTAGCTATATGTACTAAAATAACAAACTAATATATAAAAATTAAACTATATAGACATAAAAATAGAAATGACAAAAAACAACAATTACTAAAACTTGAATTGAAATTAAAGTGAAAACAAAATACTTTTTTTTTTTTTATGAATTACGTTTTAATTAAAACATTCGAACAGTAACAGGGTTATTATAGTTAACTAAAATCATAAAAAAAAAAAATATTGTTATAAAACATTTCAGCTATTTTGAACAAACTAGTAAATAAAAATGAATAAACTACATGGAAACTCATGAGGCAACATGTATGATGCATATTTATTTTACATTAGACAATGATTAATCTAACACTGAACAGCTTTACACATTCATATAAAGGAAAGTGACGGCTGGAGAAAAAAAACAGAATCAAGCAGAATACAGTCATAAATCAATAGAAGCGTTTTTGCCTTTTAAAACCCAAACTTAAAGGCTGAAGAGCTCGGATTATTCAGAACGAGTCGAGTATCATTCATCTCACTTCATCTCCATTCATGAACATCTTCCCTCCAGCTTCCTGTAACTCAAGCCCTCATGAGCGAGTTATGCTGCGCTGATCTAATGACCGACTGCAGCGTTCCTCCTCCGGTTTCAGCTCCGTTTGCCCTTTAGTAGGCTAATGATGAATCAGTCAACAGCATGACAGATTCACCCTCAATAATCAACGAAAACTGACTATTTAAAAAAACATCTCATTACTGTAATGCACAAATTTTTATTTTGTAAAGGCATTCATTTAAGAACAGGAGAAATCATAACTTTCAATTTGGCAAGTGCAGGTGCAGAGTCCTGCTTTACAGTTAAGAGCCAATCACCTTTTTTGTTTATTAAAAGAATGTGTATGCGGATTGGACCAGCTTTAAAATAGCACTTTTTGTGTCATTTTATCTTAGAAAACACTATCACTGAATCAGATTTTCTATTCCTGACAAATTGTATCAACAGTTACATTACTGACTTTGGTTATACAAACCAAATTTGTAATTTATTTAATTATTAATAAATTTTTTATTGTAATTTATTTTTATTGTAATTTTTATTAAATTATTTAAAAATGACTTTAAAATTAAATCATTCATTTTTAAAATTATTACATTTGACTTTTTACTATAATATAGTAACCGTTTCACAGTTACATTACTTTGGTTATAAAAACTAAACTTGTAATTTTATTAATTAATTTAATTTCATATAAATTACTACAAAATACTACAAAACTTGTAATTTATTTTATTAATTTAATATGAATTACTACAAAATAAAATGACTTAATTTAAAATAAAATTCAAAAATTCAAAAATCAAAAAATAATTTTTTAAAAATTATTAGAATTCAAAAACTATAATAGTGTATTATCTACTATAATAAAATATTTACAATAATATAGTAACCATTTCACAATTACATTATTGACTTTGGTTACACAAACTAAATTTATAATTAATTTTATTTAATTGTAATTTTTTTTTAATTCAATATACATTAAAAATAAAATGACTTCATTTAAAATAAAATCATGAACCATTTTTAAATTATTATTAAAATGGAAAAGCTTTTTATAATATAGTAACCATTTCTGTACAGTAGTGGGAATCACTAAAAAGAAAGACAAAATACCGAGAGTAAAACGTCTGGATTCATTGCATTAATGAGAAATCACAGTTCTTTTGATTCTGGGGTGAAATGTGACCTGGACTTGTTTTAATGAGATTCACTCACTTAAATGTGAGTAAATGACCTCCTGGCAGTCGTTCTCGATCTGTTTTCCCTTGCTTTGCCCTTCACCGGCGCGGTTGAGTTTCAGTTCCTCTGATTTCTTCCCTGACCTCTGCATAACTAGCCCAGAGGAGCCGGGTTTGAGCATACTGTCACAAAAGACATCATTAAAATTGCAAGAGGACGAAGGGAACACAACATGCTGCAGCAGTGTTTCTCTCAGACCGAATATTAGAAAAACTCCTTCACTCAGCAGGCTTTTACTGTCGATACAGTTACAACACTCTCACTTAAAGACCAGCACAGAGATGTAAAGGAGAAGGTTTACTTCTGCAAGATGGTAGGAAAAGGAAGTGAGCCAACCAAAGGATTTCTGTCATTGACGATTTTAACAACATTGCTTTATAATTCATAATGCAATCTGTCATTTTGGGGAGAAAAAAAAAATGCAGTTTTCATTAAAACATTCAGACAGGACTATTATAGTTAAATAAAACTAAATCTAAAACCATACAAAAAAAATCTTAATACATTAATCAAAATAAAATATGAAAAATTATTATTATTATTATTAAGTAGACCTTTTCAGTTAGTTTCTAAAACTAAATAAACAAACTAATAAATAAAAAAAGAATAAACTATATAGACATTTAACAAAAATGAAGAAAAAAAAACGAACAAAAAATTGAAGTGAAAATACAACCCTCTACATTGCGAGTAAATCACTCGCATATGCGACTAAATCTTACTCTGGGCGACTAAATGTCTAACATTAGCCATTGGCTAATAAATTCTTAGATTTTACACGCCAGTATGTGTGTGAGAGGCGTTCAACACAGATTTTCACTCGATAAACACGCTGACTGAGCGCTTGAGAGTTTCACTCTCCGTCAAGCGATCTGTACTATTTGGATGCGCTCAATGGATCATGTCATGTACTCAATGGATACGCAGTATGTAGCAGCAGCGCACCTGTATTTGACGTACCGTAAACTAGTGTGAAGGCGCACGACTAGCCGTCGCTTTACTGATAGCGCTGTGTTCCTCTTCAGGAACTCGAGCTGCGTCGGAAACGCTA